CTAACTACTTTACTAATATATATATATATATATGTATATATATGACTGATTAACTATCTTGCTATCAATCTTTCAAATCAATTAACTCATTACTTAACTAATAAAAAAAAACAACTAACCGACTAACCAATTAATTACCCAGCAAACTAAATAGTTTACTGCCTATATAACTCACTAACTAATAGTATAACTAACTTACTAACTACTTAATTATAGTGAATAATTATTTTACTACTACCACTACTACTACTCCTACTATTGCATACATGTTTATCTATCTTCGTTAGAATGGAGTGCTGTAGGATTGAAAGTTACTTTTTACCACACTTTGAATAAACTATATTTTTTGGGAGTTTTGAATATGTGAAACTAAATGAAATCTTGGCTCGCACTTTTAAATAATCTTTTCCGCCTAAATCCTCCGATCGTCCCTACATGGTTTGCTGGCTTCCTGGATCAGCCTTAGTCTAGAACTGTTGTGTCCCACTTTCCCTTAGAAGTGATCCGACCTCATTTTAGCAACTTGATCGTGTCGTCAGGGCGACTACGATGGACACACCCCGTACGAAGTCCTCTGCTATAGTATTTGACATAATTTCCAGCGTCAGACTGTGGACTTGGTATATTCCTAGACGTTTCGCCGGAATTGTAGTCTGCATCAAACCTGGCAAAACGTCTAGGAATATACCAAATCCACGGTCTGACGCTGGAAATTATGTCGACTACTAGAGCAGAGGATTTCGTACGGGGTGTGTCCATCTTAGTCACCCTGACGACACGATCAAGTTCCTTCAATGAAGTCAACTCACTTGCACATATCGAAAAGAGATTGTCACCAAAACAAAAGGTAACAAGCAACCAATTGGCGTTCATATCTACGTTCAGTTTCCCATGTTTGTCAGTGGCCCGGACGCATGTACACAGGCCAAGATTTCACTCCAACTGGCCGCATTATTTGGGCGCCGTCTGGTGCCATGGACGGTCGAGCTGGAAAGAGGCCTCTTTCAGCCGAGCATCGAAGTGGCAGAGGAGGTTGCCAGACCGATCGAGTCGGACTGCAGAATCGGGCCTCTCGGACCGCGAGGCGGCGCGAGAACGGAGGCGCAGGAAGAGGAAGGAGACAGGTTGGAGAGTCTCGGTCAACACCGTCTTTTGGGGGTCGAGCCGAGCGTCCAGCCTCCTCGAAGGGCTTTCGAGGGTATGCAACCGGAAGTGCCACTTCTCGCGGCGACCAACTCTAGCAGCATGTTGCTGTGGCGCAGGTTCCAGGTAGGTCTGAGCAGTTAAGAAATAGTGTGAATTGTATGAAAAAAAAGAGACGAGATGGCATGAGATGTGGTATAGAATGTATGTGGTTTTCCACATGAAGGCCTCTGTAGATCGGACAAAATAGCACATCTTTTCTCTTGCAGCTGCACCCTCTACTCACCCACATGATGCAGACTATCGTCTTTAAAGACATCGCCTAAATCTATTCAACCTTTTCGGTAGATCATGAGGATGGCTGCAAGCACTACACGTCCTGAGATGGAATGTACATTCTATCATCTTCCACATCATGTTTATGAATTGGGCACGAACGGATGTCCAATCGAAACACTCTTCATTATCAAGTACAGGCAACATGCTCGGCCTTTAATTGATATGACGGACCAGTTGGGTCAGTAAGTGCTAGAAGTTCAGCATAATTCCTGACGACTTCCAAATTGTTTAGTGTTGCTGTATATCTACTGAAAAATTTCACATCGAAATCTATTCGGTCCTTGAAGATATGAAGAAGAATTGGGTTTAGAGTAATTCATAAGTGAAATATTGTGACATGATTTTCCATTTTGATGCAAAAGTTGGTTGGAAGAAATTTGTCATTTGACCTTCCTGGAAACGGAAGGAGAATTGACGCGTAGGGAAGACTGTTGCAGTGTGCCAAGAAGTCCTCGGCTCACCGTCAAGCGACTTCGATGATAAACATTCGTCTGTACCGCCGTGACAGACATTATTGGAGTCGGTATCCATACTTTAGGTAATATAGCAAAAATATATTGAAATCAAGAGAAAAGGCGGTCGGTGACAACTTTAGTCGCATTTTTATACACCAAATTTCGCGACCATAATGAAGGATACAATCATTTGGTTGGCTACTTCGCAAATTAGTGAAATTACTTCCCAAACCACTAATTCATTCAAAAAGTAACTTTATGTATCTATTCTTTGTATAGAAAAAGGGTATTCAGACTATAAGCAGGTCATTTATATGAAGGATATGCACTCTATTTCGTTTAGGGTGATGTACTGATGTTTTCCAAACTCTACTTATAAACAAAAAATGAGGAGATAAAGTGTTTTTTGGGTGTAAAAGTGGTTTCCTTATTCATTTAATCTCCGACCCTAAATATAGAATCAAAATGGGAATTACGAAATCCCTGATAATAAGGAGATTGCGTCTAGTAGAACGCGGAGATCTGTAGGTTTGGGCATATACATTTTCATAACGATTGCCAATTGGGATTAGTAGACAATTACATAAAGCAAGCCAAAGCATGATTTAGAATTAGAGGATCGTAGACCAGTTTAATTGTGTTAAAAGAAGCTGCCATTAAACCAACTTCATGTTTTTGGAAATAACTTCATTAATTTGCTTACTTCCATTTCGAGTGAAAGTGTTGGGTGAAGAGATTCGAAGTTCGGTTCCACCAGAAGACGATGGCGGATTCCTCTTGACCAGCTTTCGATTGGCTTTACTGAAACATTCATGCTGACGCTGTTGCCGAGGCAATCTCCTTCGATTCCGGTGAAAAGGTGCTAAGCTTTCGTCCGTCATTTGACGAACATCATCAAAGCAAGGTATCATCGTCACAACCAAATTCAATCTAACGAGTCAAGGAGTTGTCTTGACAGTTAGCCGTCGTCTTCGGGTGGAAGCGACCTTCGAATATCTTCACCCAACACTTTCACTCGAAATGGAAAAAAGAGATTCCTCAAAACCCAACTTATCTTCGCATTCGTTTGAAGTAGCCAACCAAATGCTGGGATCGCGCATTAAGATCGCGAAGTTTTGTGTTTTAAAAAACGACTAAAGTTGTAGTCGACCACCTTTTCTCTTGGTTTTAATATATATTTTTGCTCTATTTCGTAAAGTATGAAAGTCTGTCACGGCGATACAGACGAAAGCTTAGTACAGTTTCATCGGAGTCGCTTGACGGTGAGCCGAGGAATTCTTGGCACAATTCAACAGCCTTCTCTACGCGGCAATCCTCCTTCATCATCACAACTTTCTTCCAACCAACTTGTCTTTCAAAATGGATAGTCATGGCACAATCTCTTAATTTTTGTCGCGATAATTCTTTTTAATGAATCAGTCTGCGTATACAAACATCTCGGGAAATAAACTACATCTTATACGAAGAAAAAATGGGTTTCGAGGAATCTCTTGTTTCATAATTGTTGGGATCACTTCCATTTCGAGTAGAAGTGTTGGGTGA